AAGATTTTATTTATTTGACAGAGAGAGACACAGCGAGAGAGGGAACACAAGCAGGGGGAGTGGGGGAGGGAGAAGCAGGCTTCCCGCCAAGCAGGGAGCCCCATGTGGGGCTCAATCCCAGGACCCTGGGACCATGACCTAAGCTGAAAGTAGACGCTTAATGACTGAGCCACCCATGCGCCCCGACATTCTATTTTAGTATAGGTGATAGACTTATAGTTCAAATAGACAGGTAAACCAGGCAGAAGAGACATTTACCTTTCTCTTTTTAAAAATAATTTTTAAATTAGAAAAAACTTATCTTTGAAACCACCCAAAATATCAAATACGAACTGTGCAATGACAGGGTCCAACTCAGCATGTGACAACTACCAGAATGGCTGCCTTAAGTATCACAGAGAACTTAAAACAAGCTGAGTAGTTTTCCTAAGTAAAGTTGTTAATGTCCTTAAAACAACAACAACAACAACCCCCCCTCGCAAAAAAAACTTAAAAGGGATAGTACATTCTTGTATTGACTCCATAATTTCGCTTTGTACACTTCATGGTGAGAAACAGCTTTTATATAAAATGAATATAACTGACAGTACTAATAACACAATTGTTAGGTATTTAATTGACTTTAGTAAAAATGAATGTTAAAACTAGGATTAGGACTATGGATTCCAACTTTCAACCCCGCTTAAGTCAGGCACATTTCTAAAATTAGACAATCCATAAGATCATTTAGTAGCTTGGTTTTTAAACACAAATTTCCTATTTCTCCTCTATGATTTATAGCCAATTTACACTCCAAAATACAGAATGTTCTGAGGATGCTGGGTACCGCAGTAACCACTACACAAAAAACAACTTAGGCTTGTTTAACAAACTATTTTGTTTTATATTGAAATAGTAAAATAGCCATATTTTAACTCTGAAAAGTTTCAAAAGGCACTCATGTTATCAGAAGCATAAGACATTTTTCATTACCATGAGCTCGAAGTAAAGCTTCAGCAGTAAACAGTGGAGCCTGAAGCATGTCTGCAGTCTCCACAATAAGCATATCTTTCAATCTACGAAGATCCTGAGGCCTTAATCCTTCATATGGCTTTGAAAAGAAGAAAATCAAGTTAAGTTGGCTGTTATACTCTTAGGAAATCCTAAATGCCTATAAACAAATATATATGATAATCATTTAATTCAATCTTCCTTGTTTCACTTTGATTACTGAAGTTAAAAAGGTCTGTGTGCTCCGCTATCATGGACCTCAAACTACTGTTTCACAAGTCTTTTATAAGCTAGAAAGTGGAATGCCAAGGCTCATGCAACCTTATTATTCTAAAATAAAGGCACCATACTATAATGACAAACCATCTTACTTTACAATTTTAAAAATTTGGGTAATACAAAAAATAATTCGAAATAAAAACCTGTAATACCACCACTGAGCAATAATCATGACTAAAGTTCTCAAGTATTTTTATCCAGTCTTTGCTTTTTACAAACCAATTATATATGTAAATATATATGTTCATTGAGTTTTGTTTTTTTTTTAAAGATTTTATTTATTTATTTGACAGAGACAGAGACAGCAAGAGCAGGAACACAAGCAGAGGGAGTAGGAGAGGGAGAGGCAGACTCCCCACTGAGCAGGGAGCCCGATGTGGGGCTTGATCCCAGGACCCTGGGATGATGACCTGAGCGGAAGGCAGACGCCTAACGACTGAGCCACCCAGGCGCCCTGTTCATTGAGTTTAACCACTGGACCACCAAACATTTACATTTATTAAGATCTAATTTGGATTATTAGTGGCATTATATGGTACTTCTTAATTAACCTGGGGAAATGTGACTATGCCATACTATTGAGTTCTTATCGTAAACATATTATCTCTCTTTATTCATGTGTTCATTAATGCTCTTTATATAGGTACTATAAATATAGTTTTCTTTATATAGGTACTATATCGTCTCAAGTTTTTTATTCTTTTGTTATCTTTTATCTTTGTTTGCTTTTAACAGAAAACATATAAAGAATATAAATTACAAGTGTTTCACTACTCAGAAACAATTACTGTTAACATTTTGGTCATACTTGTTTCAAGTCCTTTTTAAAACAAAATGAAACAAAAGAAGCAAAATTTTATACAGTAGTCTCCCCTCCACCCTCATCCATTAGGGAATGTGTGTCCCAATCCTCCCCACCATGGATCCCAGAAACCATGGATAGTACTGAACCCTATATATGTATACTGTTGTTCCCTATACATACATACATACTTACGATAAAGTTTAATTTATAAATTAGGCACAGTAAGAGATTAACAATAATAAAACAGAACAATTATAATACACTGTAATTGTTGTACAAATATAGTTTCTCTCAAAATATCTTATGGACTGTGCTCACCCTTCTTGTGAAGTGAGATGATAAGATGCCTGTGTGATGAGATCAAGTGAGGTTATTGAATAACATAGGCATTATGATATAGTGTTAGGCTACTACTGACCTTCTGAGGATATGTCAGAAGGAAGATCATTTGCTTCTGGATTGCAGTTGGCTGCAGGTAACAGACCGAGGGGACAAGGGGGAGGATTATGTAAAAGCTACAATAATCCATGACATGTTTTCCCCATTACATTTCCCTAAGTCTCCCCATCCTTGCCTATGGAAATCACTATCATGAATTTGATGTATGGTTGTCATAACATTATAGCATAACATTATATATATTTAGACAATTTCCTTTTATTTTTACTCAATATTGTGTTATTAACATTGATGAATTATCTATTTCAATTCTTTTAAACAGTTGTTAACCAGCTTACTACAGTAAGCATAGACTAAAGGACAAAGACGAAAGCTTAAAAAACAGTAGAAATTCCCAAGAATTGAGGATGTCCTCTTGCAGCACGTATCACAGTCTCCAGAGAACTCTGGGCAATTAGCAAACCTCATCCATTTTAGCTGATTTACAGATATTTTAGAATAAGATACTGTATTTCTTGCTTCATTTTAGGGAGGGTATCGTGGAAACCATTTCACAAATTTTTTTTTTTTTAAGATTTATTTGAGAGAGAAAGAGACTGCACATGTAGGGGAAGGGGCAGAAGGAGAGGGAGAGAGGCAGAGCAGACTCCCCACTGAATGGGGAGCCCAATGGGGAAGGGAGGGGGCTTGATCTCATGCCCCTGAGATTATGACCTGAGCCAAAACCAAGAGTTGGAGGCTTAACCGACTGAGCCACTCAGGCGCCCTCCTTTCACCAATTCTTATTTAACCACTTACGACTGGGATTCTATTCAATAGGGATAATTTTTCTCAGTTGATCTGACAAATTTCCTGACCTTTATAATTCCCAAATTACCACGTACAGTTTGCTTTTCAGCTAATTTATGAACCACACTTTCCCTTGCAAAAATCTAAGAAATCCTTTTATGGTTAAATTTATAGTACTCACTCCAGTAGAGAACTTACATACTATGTAGAACATTACTTCTAAAAAATGTGTTCCAAGTTCAGACTTGGGATTCCAGGTACCTCTCCTGCCTCAGCAATGAGAATGGGTATTTCTTGATATTCCTAGTGGTGGCAATTGTGTATTTCCTGGTATTATTTCCTAAATATTCTTTTTATTTTTTAAGTTTTTATTTGAATTATAGTTGACATAGAGTGTAATATTAGTTTCAGGTGTACAATGCAGTGATTCAACACTTCCTTATAATACCCGGTCTAAATGCTCTTTTTTAGATTAGCTATCATTCTACTTTATTTATGTGAGCCAAATGAGATTTGATTCTAGATAGGTTAAAAAAGAGATCGTATAAAGCAAACTACATAGATTTAAGTTTAAAAAAATTCAGTTTTAAATTTAGGTTACAATGGAAGAAAAATAGTTCTTGAAGGAGAAAGACATATTGCCTTCATGAACACATAACATATTCACTCCGAAATCTCTGCAACAGAACTGTAATTAGGTCATGTGAAGCATTTCAATACATTGCTCAGTCCCAAGTGGGCACTAGCCCTCTCTTTTGTAAGAAGGATTAAAATGAAGGTGCCTTTCTCTTTCTTGTTGCAAAGATAAACTGCTTCTATTTTCAGATTAAACACAATCTAGCAATAACCTTCAAAGCAGTCAGTACTGATACATAGAAAGAAAACGGAAACTAATTTAAAAAGGTAAGAGCAAATAAAAGTACCTCTTTTGCATCCGTGCATACTTCTGCTACCAAAATACCACTGAAAAAATGTCACTGAAAAAATGTGAAAGATCCCAACATAAAAACTGTACCTCTTTGACTATCATGTATAAAGTGATAGCATCTTCAAAAACTTTCAGAAAAGACTATGACAAAGTATTTATGAAAGAAGAATTTGTTTTTATTTCTTTCCACAATGAAAACAGCTTTCCCCAATTATATAGGTAAAACATACTTATTGTTAAAAAATGAAAAACAGGTACTCATTTACCCAAATGTATTAGTAATTGCTATAATTTTAGAAGATGTGAAAGGCACTTGGAACAAAGAGAATTATTTCCAATTCCTCTTAATATCAATCTCTCATTAGCTGATCCATGAGCTTAGCCTGGAAGAGAAAGTCTTAGGATTCTCAGACCTTTCCCCTTATTTCAGTTTCCTCTCTTCTTACTCAGCTGCTCTCCCCTGGACTTAAGGCCTGGTCCACCCTGATCTGTACTTTGATCTAAGAGGAAGGCAGCTGCTCTCGCACAGTAGGCTAGACCTGCACACCAGGGAAGCCAGCTAAGGCCATGTCCACCATATGCGTTCCCTGTCAGAAAAAGAGCCTGAGTTTTCCTGAGTTATAAACTGGGAGAGGAACTGGGAGGGGGGAATTCTTTCGATGGCTTTCATAGCAACATATTGTTTGTCTTCCCTTCATTTACCCACATACAGTCACACAGTCTACTCCTACAGAGCCTGACCCCAACTAGGTTCAACACTCACTAGTTTCTCTGTTCTGTCTGTACAGGTTTATGTAAATTAAATACACTCTTCCCAGCCATCACTCCAACACATCACCTTGTTTTTATTTCCTTATAGCAGTTACCACTCTCACAAATTGTATTTACTTTTTAACCTTATTTATGTGCGTCTATATCGATGCTAGAACATAAGCACCTAGAGGGCAGGGGCTTATTTTTGTTCTTCACTGTATCCTCAAGCTCCTAAAACAGTGTCTGGCAGAGCAGTCAGTCACTCAAGAGTTTTGTTCAGTGATGGGATGAAGAAATAGATTTTATCCATTTATAAACTAATCTGAAGGAAAGAACTTAATTAAAATGTATCAAGAAGAAATTATAGAGATATAATATTATACAGTGTCCAGATCATTAACTGAATTGAGAAACTTAATTAAAATAGACACCTCGGGAATATGAATCTTTTAAACTACCTAATTATGTAGTTTAATACAATTACATAGCAGGCCATGTAAAACTATTAGCATAGGCAGAATAATCCAAAAGTTGATTAGGGTCAAAGCAGAAGGTATAAAATGAATTTTAAAGAAAGCATTGTTTTTTGGTATTATTTTTTTAAATTGTTATGAAACACACATTACTTAAAAATAACAATTTTAGGGGTGCCTAGGTGGCTGAGTCATTTAAGCATCTGCCTTCGGCTCAGGTCATGAGCTCAGGGTCCTGGGATAGAGCCCCATGTTGGGCTCCCTGCTCAGCGGGGAGTCTGCTTCTCCCTCCCCCTCTGCTTCCCCACCCCCACTTGTGCTTTCCCTCTCTCTCTCTCTCAAATAAATAACATCT